AGAAGTTTTCCTTGTAATATTATTCGAATATTGACCATGAGCTAAAGTTATTTCTGAACTTTGACAAAATATATGTGTTATAATTATTAATACAAAGATCGAACACTCAGGAAAAATTCCTTCGATCCGGCCGGATTCGAACCGACGTCTTCTAGCTTACCGTGCCAGATGCTATACCAACTAAGACACGGAACGAACCAGCGGACCTTACGAATTTTTCTATGTGCTTGCGTTGTGTCTTTGTATTTGGTTTTTCAACGACTTTTTAGTTCTTTTTTCTAAGTGTTCGATCTTTGTATTAATAATTACAACAAAGCAGTGGAGTAATTTCGCAAAAAATAATTGAATCAATTCAGTAAAAATATAAAATATATGCGTGTTACAAAGTAATTATTAAATATATATAACTAATATGGATAGATGTAGCTAATTCTAAACAAAGTAAACAAAATAGCCGGTAGTATCCTTAGAAATCTGTGCAATGAGCGCCATCTAGTTGATTGGTATGTAATTACTAGACATTAGAGTACATTTGATAAATTGTAGCTTGAAAACCAATCACGTGTGTGGATTGATTGAACCCAAATACTTATTTGGTACTCGTCGCGGCATCTGGCGTACAAATACGTACTAAATACCCGACTACGCCATCTTGTATCGCGATTAGCAGTCCTCACTCCGTTTATGTATTTAATATATTGACTGTGATTTAATCTTAATAAAAACCACCAAATTTTACACACTTACTACTTCGATTAATGGTGAAACAACTGTTTATATTATTGAAGGTGCACTTCAAAGATGATGCATAGTTTGTGTGAAGTATAGATTCGTTTCGTTTATTTCTCTCAACATTACAAATTTCATACAAATACAATTACATGTTATTTCCTACGACTCTTCGAAAAGTGAGCGTCAGTTTACAAAATAATCAAGAATTAATTATTATAATAGTGAGTCATAAGTACACGTACAGTAGTGTACACGTACAAAATCAACATAATTAATGGAACTAATAAATAATTTAATTAAACTAACAATGTCAAGTATTTATACAGGAAATGTCAATATGGATTCTCAATAACTAATAAATGTATATTACAGTGTAATATTACGGCGAATGTCAAATTCATTAATAAATATAATAATTTAATTATTTATTAAGTACTTTGAGTGTACTCTGTTACTGAGTAAAGGGACTTTTCCAATAGAAATTTCTTCTAAACGTTTCCTCACAATATTCGTTTTATAGTTCGGCGGGTAGGTGCTCATAGTAGGTCGGTCCTATAACTCGCGGGTTTTTTTCGTGAAGTGCAGTGCGACGCGGTACTGATCGGAGTTGTCCCGTACAGCCCGGTGGATTCTGTTATATTTCTGTAAAATAAAAGTATTTTTTTAACTGACTTCAAAAAAGGAGGAGGTTCTCAATTCGACTGTATGTTTTTTTTTTGTTTTTTTTTTTGTATGTATGTTACGCGATAACTCCGGTATTTGTAAACCGATTTTCATGATTCTTTTTTGTTAGAAAGAGGGTACGTCCATAGAGGTCCCTATCCATTTTGAAGAAAATCATCCACCTCTAAAGGTCACGTATGAACATTCATTTTTATAAATAGCGCCTAAATTTTACTCAAAGAGCAATTATTTTAATGGTTGGTTTTGCTATTCTCCATATCAAGGCGTTTTTCTCTCTCAATATACTTTCTGTAGTGAGAACCAATTTTTATTATCTCCTGTGTCGAGTCCTGTGTAGTGGTGAACTAGGAAACATGTCAATAAAACTTGGCAAATAGATGTAATTCCACGTAGAGGTCGGTTTTTTTAGTACTTTGTACTGAGTTTATTTAAATATCAAGTGACGGGACGAACAAGTCGTGCGCCTGATGGTAAACCACACGCCTGTCCATAACAATTGCAGTGTCCTCAGAGGTTTAGATCACAAAGGTCTGAGAGGCACTGCCACTGCGCCCATCACCCAGATACATAAGTTGACAAGTCCCATGTGCCTGTAATTTCACCATTACCCTTACCCTTCAAAATAGGAACACCGTAATGCTGACATTACTGCTTAGCAGAAGAAATAGGTAAGGCGGCAGTTATATACGGGGCGTACTTTGACTTTGTACATTAACTTACAATTATAATCGCAAGTCTAGGATATGTAGTTTTAATTACATCGTATACAACTTTATTTTCTTTTTTCATCACTTGTATTAATGGTGCACTTAGCAAAGGATTCGAATACATTAAAAATTCCCCATAATCGCCTCCTTAGAGCAGCTCCAAAACAGTATATGCAGTATCCGATATCTCTCTCGTTACATATAGGCTCGCTGGATATCCAAGCTTAGTCTCAATATCAATCTGGAGAGCTCAGAGCACTGCACTGGCAGTAAGTACCTCATACTTTTGAATGCGCGTAATAAAAGAGTCTTTTGCTTAAATGAAATACGAATGTTGGATATTGTGATTTGCAACGTGCACTAAGAGATTTGAGGGTGATTTTATGGGCGAGGTTTATGATCGAAGGGGAATTATGCCCCCTACGTTCCCTTTGTCAAACGTCGACGGATACAAAATGAAGATTATTCTGTTCTCGCTGTTCTTGAACTAAATGTAAACGACAGCTGATTTTTTATCACAACCAGGGAAGGAATGCCTCGATGGAATAATTTCGGAGCAGTGGTGCTAGTACCACTGAGAAGAAAATATAATAAAATTTGAATTAAACTCAAAAAACCTACGATACGAAACAGTGTACTCCAAAAAGTTACAAAGTCACACACGATTTTTCTACGGTTGCAGCATCAGATCAGGGTTACCATATTATTGTAATGTCCCCGGATTTCCATATATTTTTACGACCTTCGTAGTCGAGTGGCTTTGACAGTGGTTTTCATGGTGTCAATGGTGACACCATGAAAACCAGTGTCAAAGCCTCTCGACCCTCGGAACCTCAGAGATGGCTCTGAGGTCCCGAGTTCGATCCCCGGTCTAGGCAATGTAGAAAACTAACTTTTCTACACTACAACGCCCACATCCGTGAATTAATGATGTTTTAATTGCATTTTAATATACCTGTATTGATCTTCGTGTCAGAAAACGCATTATGTAACCATTTTATGCGTAGTCAATGGCGATAAACGAGGCAACTGAAAAAAAGTCATTAAAATAAACAATATATTATTCAGAATCAATTAACATTGCCACGGCACGGAATAAAACTGAAGCGAAAATTTCGCCTTGCTGCGGGCGAAGTGCGCGCGACATCGCTGGCATGCTCGAGCATTCGCGAGCTTTCTCGCGACTGCGCCTTGAGACTGTAGTATTTCGTGGACGTTTGACGTCACACTGCTCCTGCCTTCGCGATACTTCCCACGGATTCACCAGGCGTCGCCTTGGCAGCTGCGGAAAATCGTGCGAATACGCGAGCATTCCCGAGCATGCGCGAAAATTCGCCGGAAGACGCACGACTTGTTTTTTGGCTCGTATCTAGTTTGTACATTACACAATTGACATAATGTTAATTTTGCTAAGTACAATTTCATTACAGAAGTTCGCTTCCATTCCGTTCCACCGTAATGTAAATTGAGCCTAAGGTAATAATGTAACTTGTTTCTATATGAGCCTATCAAGCGCAATGATTTCTGCAACAAAAATAAAAACAATTTTACGTAATGAATTCAATCATTTTAAATTTTTATTGAATTGATATTCAATTATTTTTTTGTGAAATTACTCCACTAGTTTGTTATAATTATTAATACAAACGGAACGAACCAGCGGACATCACGAATTTTTCTATGTGCTTGCGTCGTGTCTTTGTATTTGTTTTTTCAACGACTTTTAGTCGTAGCGCCATCTATGAGAAATCTATGAAAGATTTATCACCCAGTTAGTACCTTTACAGTTACCAGTCCTGGCGAGAGATGTCGCTATTCGCTGTATTTTAAATTGATATTCAATTATTTTTTGTGAATTACTCCACTAGTTTGTTATAATTATTAATACAAAGATCGAACACTCAGAAAAAATTCCTTCGATCCGGCCGGATTCGAAACGACGTCTTCTAACTTACCGTGCCAGACGCTATACCAACTAAGCCACGGAACGAACCAGCGGACCTCACGAATTTTTCTATGTGCTTGCGTCGTGTCTTTGTAATGCAATCATGTTGCGATTGATTCAATGAAGAAGTCGCTGAACAGACTCCATATCAATTTGTTACATTTATTTTTCAGTGTCGCTTGGGTGCAAGTATTATATCTAAGCACACTTTAGGCATTAAATTTGCTTTGCAGAACTATTATTATTGTTTCATAATTATGGGGAGAAAATTAAAAGCTTTAAAAATACTATTTAGAAAGTGGCTTATGCACTGCAGTGTCATTAGTTATAGCGAGGCACGGGCGCAACAAGATATGTGGCATATTGTCACGCCATCGCCGGTGTAAGTGCGTGGGGCGAATACTTTCCAATAAAAGTAAGAAATGTACGGGAACACATAATTATTTATGTACAATTAGCTGTGGCAGACCAGCGGGAGAAGATTGCTTCTGAATTGAGAAGTTAGAAGACTTTAATTTGTAAATTACGTACATTAAACGTTTAGTAGCAACACATCTCGCCAACGGCGAAGGAAGAAAGCATCGTGATGAAAAGCGGTACAAGTAGGTGTTTTTAATTCTCGCAATTACGAACACTGAGCAATTGGCTGTATGACTTTTCATTAATAGATCAATAGAAAAGTTCAGAGAAGCGAACAGTATGGTTAGACATACTTACATTGCAAACGTTGGTCAAGAAGAAGTCGCCCGGTCCTTAGATAACAAACTTTGCGTGTTCGTTTTTTGAAGTAATGCAAACATTTCCTAGCATGTTTGAGAAAAATACATTAAAAATAATTTTGAGATTATACTAAAGAACTTAATGAATTGGTGAGTTTAAAATAAAAAAGTTTATTATTATTATTATTAAATACAATCAATTTGTTTGTACAGATTCAAAACGTGACCACTGCAACAAAACGGTGGAGATATACGAGGACGTGTCGTCGCCGCCTGTCACGCCGGAAAACTTCGGAAGACCTCTGACATGTACGTATAGGTAAGTAGACCCCAATTATAAACTGGTATATGTTAAGAAATATGAAAAGAGCTTTGGTAGCCCAATAGGAAAATGGTTCCTTTTCAATGATTCGAATCCCTGTGACGGCATTTAACTTCTAAGTTACGTACATTTGTGAATGTTTAGTGACGATATCTCTTGCTAACTACGAAGGAAAATACCGTGATAAATATTGGTCATCAAAGAAGAATCACAACACTTGGAAAACCTATGGATTCCCCAACTCACATTTGACCAGCGCCCAGATGAAACAAAGGAGGTTGATGATAATGGTGATGACTATGAAATATACGCTACGTAGCCACATTCAGAAGAGACTGACAACCTCAGTGGTCGAGTGGCTTGCATACCAGTTTTCATCTTGTCGTTATCTCTTACGTCCCGGGTTCAATCCTCGACCCAGTTGTTGTTACCGATTTCCATAACGTGATTAGTATGCTCGAGTTACTTTCTTTCGGATCAGAGCAACGAATGTGATGTTGTATAATATTTATGAAATAAAAAACTTGCACGCCAAAAATTTACTAAAATCTCCTCGAAGGCATCTGAAGTCTTGCACTTGTATTGAGCTAGCTAAAGTGGTGAATAAAGAATTTAAATAAGAGAATGATTAACACCACTTAATTAATTGGTTTCATCGTTACTATCTTACCTCATCGTTCCAAAATTGTACTTTCTTGAGAAAAAGAAAATTACATAATTTAAAAATATATATATTATTTAATATATTATTTATTATTATATGTATTAAATATATATACTTACAATATAAAAACCAACTAGCTATCTTCGACTCTGCAACACGATTTGGCATAAGTTGATATTGTCCATATGCATCATGATAGCTATTTTTTACTAGTAATTTTATCATAAAAGGACAATATGTATCCCAGAGAAAATTCAAAGCTACAGAAAATTTACTGCAATGTAGTTCATGAACAATACAATTGTTACGTTTGTTGACAGATTTCGAGCATTTCGAGGGTCGCCGAAGGACTGGATCCTAAGAATACGGTTCAAGAAGTTCAAGGTCGGGACTCTGATCAATGGCACAACTTGTCACAAAGGATACATGCAGGTTGTTACACATTGTTGTTAGTTTAATGTCTCGACAAGTGCAACACGCCCCTAATTCTATTTTACGTTTATCAGTACACAATTGTATCTTCTCTTCATTGCGATTTTCAAACTACTTACCAAGCATAACGAATTTAAATTTAGTTATAAACTGATGTGCTAGGGGTAGTAAGAGCAATTTATTTGGATAATAGCAAATATTTACATCGCGTTATAAATAATACACTGTATAAGAGAAAATGAAATGGAAGAACTTTGATACGCCCTGGGCACAGTGCCTAGGAAGCTGGCAACGTTTTCCCTTGAGATCGCCTAAGTTATTGTTTGGCGAAACTAGCTGCCAACTGTGCTGGTATAAGTAAACGAAAACCTAATGTTAAAAGATTAATTTATCTGTTACATTCCTCTTTTACTGTGAAATGTTCAACGGCAGACGTTCGTTAACAACGTTATCTATATTTTCGAAGTGAAAACAATGTTACATTACATTCCGAGCACAAAACGAGAACGAGTGAAAGGAGAGAAAGTTGAAGTCAAAAGTGGTGAAAACCGGCCGACGCCAGAAGTAATTGAGTTGCCCCACGCTTTTCCAATTTTAGTAATTAATTTTTGAAGTTTGACGGCCAAAAGAACTCGCCAACTCGTTTCGTTCGGGTAGGGCTGCCTCAACGGGAATAACTTTTATTCATTACTTTTGTGCTTTGAAAGGGAATCCGATCATTCAAATTATTGACAAGCACTCACAAAAGTATTGAAAAAGGCGGACCTAAATTATAGCTTTTGTCGATAAAATTTAATGATCAACTACTGAATACTTAGTATTAATAAACAGAAACAAACAAATATATTATACAATTTTTGTTTTGTGTTTGGCAAGGTATTTTGATAATTGTAATTATCATTCGCTCCATGGCACCGCGCTCTTTCCAAAGAAGAAACACACCGATAGATTTGTAATTAGTTTTGCCCCGAATCAGCCTGTGAAGATTAATTGAATTCCGGAGTCAAAGTGTTTTCGTAGCCAAAAGAAACTTTGACGTCACTACTTTTTCACAGAACAACGACGCTCATAATTTGTATTCAGTACACACAAATGCAAAGACTAAAAAAATCACTTTTGATGCGAAACATTTCAGCTCAAATTACACATCATTACGTATTTCGAGAGTCATATGAAAATTATATTTTAAAATTTTACATCCCTGTAAAGAGGAGGCAAAACCAATTTGGACGGGTAATGAGGGGATCATTCGTCTGCTTACAGGATTAAAATAAGTTTAGGTCTAACGCTTCAATTCGAAAACCAGTATGAATATTTATTTAGGAGATGTATTTGATGTTTGTAAATGCGTTAACGACCTTATTCGGTAAAACCTCAAATTACTTCCTCTTAATTTTTATTACAAAAATTATTTATGTTGTTTATTTGTAACCCAAATTCTTTGAGGATTATTGTTATTGTGGGACCGCGGCAATCAAAAGCTAAAATTGTGATTCTTTCATCAAGTTTGTGCTCTGCACTCGAGAACCATTATTCCTTATAAGTTGTCAAATAACCTTGGAAATCTGCCCTAATAATGTCTATTGAATCAGCTGCTCAACATAGTCAATTAACATTTTCCTGATTGCGGCAGATCGTGGACGGCAACGCAAAGACGGACGTGTCTAACCGCAAAGAACCGGGTCTGTTCTGCGGCGAGATCGAGCAGCCGCAGACCTTCATCTCGGAGACCAACTTCGTAAAAATCGTCTTCCATGCCGACAACTTCACCGACCAGACTTACTTCAGCTTCGATTCAAGGTAACTCGGATGCAGTACAGCACTGATAAGCGTAACTTTTTGTCACAAACTTACGAAACCTGAGCATTATTGGAACTTTTCAGAAACATCTGATTAAATAGTCTGTTATCGCTTGCCTTGATAACGGAGGAAATTATCGAAAGCCAACCGGCCTAGATGTTCAAGAAGATGCACGAAACTGAGATAATGCTATTTCCTTATTCTTCATAATGTACCGATCTTCAATTATAAATTCATAATTATGTGGTACGCTTCTTCTTTTACGTCATCGTACCTAAATATCATTAAAATCCATCAAACATTCCCGCATCCATCTGATACTCAATAATAAACGCATCTGTTTCCGCATACAGAGCATTACCATCCCCTTCGGTGCTCAGTAAACGGTGAAATCTATCAAATCATTTCGCACTCTATTGACTTCAAAGGCAGTAAAGTATCTACTGCGTTTTATTTTACTATTTTAATGCAGATATTTTTCCCTTATTTCGAGTAATATATGAAGAAGGAAAATATTGCCTTAAATAATTAAGATTTACTTTATCGCACTGTGTTCACTGTTCGAAAAGTATTCTTTGAATATATAGTTTAAATGCATTCCACTACAACCCGACTTCATTCACTGCCGTATTTAAGCTTTTTGAAATTTGCGCAGGTCTTGCGCTAAGTTGACGATGTCATCTATCCACGTCGCTGCAAAACTTTCCTTGTTTCTGAGACCTTATTATCGAAGCACGAAACGCGTTTACTCACTGTGGATGACAAAATGTGTGACAATGCGATTTGACAGTTTAAGGGCCCGTCTTTTCATTGACGGACTTCTAGAGTAGTACTGTACGTCGTCCATATTGGGCAAACGGCCGTAAGTACCCGGTTCTTGGCCATCATTCGGTTGTCGTTTTACTTAATTTGTCATCACATGTCACTCAATGTGCATTAAATCTAAGTTTCTAGACTTTAGTTTGTTCTCGGTTTTCGGAATCTATACCCCGGTCTACAGATTTGAAGCTGTCAAATATACTAATTATGATGTAATTATTACTCAGTATTTGTAGTCTCTAAAATTAAAACGAATTAAAACCCTTCACAAAAATAGTTTTTACCTTTTAATACATTCATGGATGTTTCTGATTTTATCAGAATTTTTTGTAATCTTAATTTGTTATAGGTCTGTCTATTCTATTCTATTCTATTCTATTCTATTCTATTCTATTCTATTCTATTCTATTCTATTCTATTCTAGGCCCCTCCGATTAAAGTTTAAACTACCATTGTAATAGATTTCTTAAAAAGCAGAAAACCTCTTATTTGAAATATATAATCTTAACATTGTTGAAGTTAATTCGATAATTAATGGCCCTGGTGCCGGTTATCACGAATTACCTTGCTAATGTGGTTGTATGAAGATGTTTGTTGTTTTCAAAACACTCAACACTCGTTACTGGAAATTAGAAAAAGAAATAGAAAATTATACACACATTTTTAACCGACTTGAAAAAAGGAGGAGGTTCTCAATTCGACAGTATTTTTTATATATGTTTCGCGATAACTCCGGTATTTGTAAACCGATTTTCATGATTCTTTTTTTGTTGGAAAGAGGGTACCTCCATAGTAGTCCCATTTAGTTTTGAAGAAAATCGTCCACCTCTCAGATTCATTTTTATAAATAGCGCCTAAATTTTATTATAAGCAGCAATTATTTTAATGGTTGATTTTGCTATTCTCCAATTCAAGGCGTTTTTCTCTCTCTTAACTTTGAGTAGTGAGAACCGATTTTTATTATCTCCTGTGTCAATTTCCGTATAGTGGCGAACTAGGGGATGAATCCGGGTTTGCGCACTTTCCGGTAACCGATTTCAATAAAACTTGGTAATTATATGTATTTCCACCTACTTTTGAGATCGGTTTTTTAGCACTCTGTACTGATTATATAAGTACAATATGCAGTTTCGACTAAATCATAATATTTAAAACTAAGAGTAAGCACAGCATGCCTCATTTTCATCTCAATAATGTAATAAGTAATACGAATAATAAATGAATAATGAGCGTAACAGTGTGCGCTGTGCTGTCGGAATCCGTCATACTCTTAGCTTGTTGTCACTGAGTGCGCTACAATTGCGCATTACAATTACGCTGATTTTCAGTGGACTCAGTAGAAGAATACACGTGGTATGGAACATAGAATTTTATAATAATAATAATAATATGTCTTAAATAGATATGATAATAATAACTCAGGTTGCAGTTATAGAATAATGTACAAAATAAGCATTGACTTACAAATAAATGGACGACGGGTCTAATACAAAAACCACGAAAAAAATGTCCCAAGTCAACCTATTCGAAATTTAAATTGTTATGTCATCGCAGTATCGCGCTGTCCGTAGAACAAATGAAGACTAAAGCGGAGTGTCGCGCTCTGTATACGATTTTAGCGCCTTACAAGTGCGGACACTTTTTAGCGCGGACCCGACGTCCATATGTCAATGAAAATAAGTATAGTTTCACAGTGTCCGGCCACACAATAGGCATACAAATATTGAAAGTAAAATGTTTCGTATTCAATAATATTACGTAGGCGTGCACACGTCATGGATTTAATAAATCGGTCAGTAATTTAAACACGGTGATAGTTACATGGGTCAATTTTAATAGCAACTAGATGTCAAAATAATATAGTAGTATGAATGGCGTCAATATCCAAATGTCAAAAATTGGACAACAAATTTAGAGATTTATCATTCAAAAATTCGAAGACTGTATAGAACATTTTATTAGTCAATAACTTGTTCGAAAATTTCGAAAAATTATTGTAATTTCTTGGAGCCGTTACAAAAGTACTTTTCTGCGTGAAGGTAGTTTTACAAGCTTTCAAACGTTGGTCATAAAGTCTTGGCTTCAGAGTTCGCGTGAACAAGTATGAGTGCATTCGGCATAAACGACAGTTTCGTAGATATAAAGTGAAGGAACAGTCAGTAGTCGAAGATCTTTAAAATATGGTTTGCAGCTATCTGTTCTCTTCAATCTACAAATTGCTCTGACACATCTTTTTTTTGCCATAAAAACTGAGTTCACATTAGTTGCATTACCCCAAAATATCATGCCGTATCTTAATATGGAAGCAAATAACCGTAGTATGCTTGAAGAACCGAGTCTCTGTCTATAACTTTGCTAAGCATATTTTATAATAATGTGTATGCATAAGTGTTGAGTTTATTGCAAATACTCTCTAATTGTGATTTCCAGCTAATTTTATGACCAATCTGTATACCTAAGAACTTGTTCGTTATATTTCCGAACCATTTTCGTTACACATCCGTTGTGCGTCCCTTTGTACTCTACGTTTATCTTACTAGCTATTTTTCTCAACTTAAAATTCATGAGTTTTGTTTCTCTAAATTAATTTTTAAATTATTTACTTAAAGCTATTCTATTAGTGAATTAAACATGCATTTATTTCGTTTTCTTTAATATATGTCACTGCACAATCGCCCGCATATAGCAACATTCGGTGATAGGATGCTTTAGGAAAAGTAATGGTCCCAAAATACTACCTTGCGGGACTCCATAGTGTTACTTTAGGCTCAGAGTTGTATTCCATTTCCGTTTGTTTGTTGTTTGCTTGTTTTTATGTCGATTCTATTAATTTTGGTCAACTGAGTCCTTCCGACTAAGTTCCTGTGTGTATGTTGCCCCTTACACCATATAAATAAGGTTTGCCAAGTAAAATGTCGTGGTCTAAGTAGTAAAAAGCTGTCGTCATATCTATATATATAGCAAATCAAATATGTATAAACCTGTATATATAAATCTATATATAAACCGCAAAGTCAATGATAAACCGTTATCCATTATTGTATGTATTTTCTCGAAGAAGACATAAATAGCTAAATTACCTTTTTTTCTAAAACTTCTTTGTTCTTTACAAATAATTAGATTGATTTCATTGGTCTCAAAGTAACCATATAAATTTGTTTACTTATAATGTTATTAACACTGATATGTTCTATCATCAGGGCTGAACAGCAGTTCGAAGTATACCTTCGATATGGCCAACACCCAGAATTGTATCCAAACCGAAGAGGCGAGGTGGTTGCTGGGTAAGTATTTTTATTATTCTTATGATCACCTGTACACATTTCTGTTTATTATTCCAAATAGAGCCGGTTCTCCTGGAAAGCCGTCTTTTGATTTGAAATTTTAAAACGAAAAAGGTACTCTCATAAAATCATTTATATGTGTCAGTAAATCCGTTGATTTTGCGCAAGCATTTATCGAAAAAACTAATATTATTAGGTAGTTTTTGAAATAAAATTTATTTGAATTGAATAGGTTCTACAAGATGGCAATTATTAGAGTTTCTCTATTCAGCCAATATACAAAAGTGTGCTAAATAATTGTTGTAAATCATTGACTTACAATTATATGGACGTCGGGTCCGCGCTAAAAAGTGTC